GGGGGGGGAAGGGGTAGGTAGGTAGGCTGACTTTTTTTTCGTCCATCATTAAACCCTGCCGGCTTTTCAAGTACCATTTTAAACTATTTGCAACCTTACCAATGGGATCATGAAGCTTTGTGTAAGTTCTACCATGTGTCTCCTTAGAATGGCATTCTGTGGACGAAAAAGAATAAAAGAAAACAAACTTAAACCCAGTTTACCAGTTATGAAACCGTGTTCTCGGCACACGTTACCTTTCGAAACGTTAGCTTTAGATATTTTTTACAGCGTCCAAATCACATTATCAACTTAGTTGATAAAAGTAAATTATCTTGATTCATACAGGGTTGCAAGTCAGACCCTCTTTGTAACTCATTCCTGCTATTCTGTTCCTAAGTAAATTCTGTTACCTGAACTTCTGGAGGTCTTTTTGGATGATTACCCTGTTGATTAAAAGCAAGAAACGCAACAGAATGAAAATTGTGCTCTTGAGTCATTCGTTTGACATTTAAATAAACTTAAATGATTTTCAAGGCAATCCAAAACATAGGTTCAATCAACATTCCAGATACATTTCACGATTTTCTGAGTTTTTAAGCCACTGTGCGGTTATATGGCTTGGTTTGCTATTACATCCAACCAGGGGCGTAGCCAGGGGGGTCCTGGGGTGCCCGTGACCCCCCCCCTTGGTAGGCCTTCTTTTGAGCAAACAACCTACAATATTCAGGTGGTGAAAACGCCATGACAATATCTTGGCCTGCCCACTATACTCTCACTGCTCATCCCAAAACTGTAACATTAAGTAAAACATGCACGGCAGGGAGGTGGACATGACAATCTGGTCAGTAGCCTCTGTGAGCCCCCCCCCTTTGTAAAATCCTGGCTACGCCCCTGCCATCAGTAGTATGGCTGCCATACAAGATTACGATACACACCTTGCTTAGTCTTCTAAATATAAGTTTATCCTTTGACAGAAATTGCTTGTACTTTGTGTAAATTCCTGAAGCAAAATGAAAGGCTCTAAATCTCAAAATCATTGCAATTAGCCATTCTCAAAGTTCCCTTATTAAAATTTGGCAAGCCTGCCAGCAGGCTCTCATTATCAACACTCCAGCACAAGCGTCTTGAGCAATATGCAAGCTTGACAAGGGATCTGCTAGGAGTCTTGCACTGATAATAATTAGTGCCAGACCCCCAGCAAAACTTTCCTCAGCTCAGCTGGTCTCAAGTGCAGAAATGCAGATTCTGCAGCACTAATAGTGAGGGCCTCTTGGCAGGATAAAATTTGGCTGCCTTTGGATAATTAACAATTATTCCACAAGCGCGCATTGGATATGAGATGATAGATAGCGAACGAGGCGCGTAGCACCGAGTTGGCTATAATCATCTCATATCCAACAAACGCAAGTGGAATAATTGTTTTATTAAAAACCCTGCATTAAATTATTAAATTTTATTAAATTTTTAGCTCCCTTATAATTTTAAGCCTACACGTACGCTTACCATATCGTAGTTTATGGCATATTGGCTCATATACCGTAATGGCTAAGCCAATGAAAAGTCTTGAATAGCATTATCCAATGATCCAGTTTTTAATAATAAAGCATAATATGCAACCATCTGCAGCTTTCTGAATTTCTTGTTCAATTGGTTGGAAAAGATGAACTGAAGACTTTTGACCATTACCTTCCCTCCCAGTTCAAGGAAAAAAAAATTGAGAAATTCTTCCTTAAATATGCCAGGGCGACAGGGGTTGATGGTTTGGAAAATTATCATCTTTGGAGATTTTTTTCTTGATAGAACACCAAATTGTCATTTTGTGAGCAACCAACAAAAAATGTATGGTAACCATAAGTAGACTGGGCTAGAAATAGAAAATGAAAAATAGAAAAAGCCTGATGCTGAGCCTTCCTTGTCAGAGAAATAATCATTACTGTAAGTTCTCCTTGTCAGAGAAATCCTTATTACTGTATGTTCTGCAACACCACAATCAAACCATTACTCTACCTGGTTTTGACGACAGTGTTCTTTTGGCATTTTGACCAATACCAGGAGATCTTTTTGATGATATAACTAAAAGAAATTAAGTGTCAGTTAGTCCTGAACACAATACAAAGCAATGCAGAATTCAGGGGCATGGGCAAGATTTTCCTGTTGAGGGGGGGGGGGGAGTCTTACACTCATAGCCTGGCATTATGGGAAAAAACCATGTGTTCCTGTAACCAAGAGCTATAAATGCTGAAAAATGCCTAGTGTTCAACAATAGCCAACCTGCTAGTTGCTATTTTACAAATATATATCAGGCTGCATCTTTTAATGACAGATCTCAAATGGACATTAATAAAAAATAAATAAATAAAAAAAAATAAGAATAATAACATTCACTGATCAGCTTATGGGCTGTGCTTTCGTGCCTAATGTTGCTTTAATTGTATATGGCATACAGATGTTTTTACTGCATATAATAATAATAATAATAATAATAATAATAATTATTATTATTATTATAATAATAATAATAATAATAATAATAATAATAATAATAATAACAACAACTAGTATTTATATAGCACACATATAAAAAAACTCTCATGGCACTTTACAATAACTATAGGTATAATGTCAATCAATG